TTAGTTGGTTGGAAATCTTTGGAACTCCTGCCCTAATACTGCAACATTAGTGCTTATTGAGTATCATTGATGAACTTTACAAATCTAAGAAAGAGGTGATCTCTGCCTCCTAGAAGTGACAGTTGAGATCACTGGGCAGATGATTAAGCTTCCTAGGGCTTGGATAATATCTTAGATTTTGAGTTTCTTATCCAAATGAAATCTCTAAACCCAGTAAACTTTACTCCTCTTAAGTAGATACATTAGCAGCTAGTGTCTAGGATATAAAACCTATGTAACTAGGATGGAATTGACAAGAAGGATAGAAGTGATGAGTGTTTCTCAGTTGAGAAACAGTTGTTTGTGTCAATATAATAAAAAGTTTTGAAGATAAAAAAAAAGCTGCAAACTTAAATAAAAAAAATGAGTTAGATGCAGCAGCCCATTACTTAGCAGTATCCACCAACATAACAAGTCATGTCAACTTTATAAAATATATAATGCTTGTTTATTAGGTAGCTGTTCAGTTCCCAGAAAATGCAGCAGTGGAGACAAGTGAATGTTGGGTTTAAAACATTTACAATATTAGGGAATTATTTTATATGGAGGCATTTTTAGGCTCAGTAATTGGCTAATCTAGAAATTGTTCCAAATGCCTAGTGTATGTTTGAAGAATTATAAATGATTAAGCCAATGTAGCTGTGCTCTAGGCTTTATTTCCTAGGGCTGTGCGAAGCATTGGTGGCTGATTCAGTTCGGCGGAGATTTGGCCCAATTCGGCAGCCAAATCTGAATTGAATCAAGAGACCCATTAAAAGGTCCGAATCAAATTGGAAGCCTCCAAATCGATTCAGAGAGATTTGGAGATTCAGAAGGCTTGCAGCAAACAGAAACTGAGAAGAGGGAGGGGGATGGGGTGATCTTCCATATATGAAAAAGCCTCAGGGGGGAAGGGGGAGGAGACTGCTCTGATGTTGACATCTGTAGCTGACCACTGACTCTGATCTTACTCTGAGTTCCTTTCCAATCACAGTGCTCTGGGGGAGGGACATAGAAAAAACATATAAAACTGTGTCTGAAGTGATCTGTGTTTTTTGTGAACTGTCCCTCTCTTGGAGACCGGCTTGCTAGCTGGTCTCTTGCTAGGTAGTCTTTCTTCTTGTAAGTTGCATCCAATCCTTTCCTACGTACCCTTGCCTACCATCCCTGTTGTTATCCCTATCCACTGCTTTCAACTTATTCTTCCCCCAGAATCCTCTTATTTGTTCTTGTTAGTCTGTCTTGATTCTTTCCCCCACAGAAAGAAATCTGTGTTTTCCCTGACGGTGTGCCCTCACTGTGCAGGAAAACACAACATATATTACACGCGCATTTTGTAGTACACCAAACATTACCAAGTGTGCTGGAAAGGCAGGTGCCAGGTCTTCTGGTGGAGAAGGGAGAGGGGGCAGAGGGAGAGCAGCAAGTTCCCCCCACTCCAAATATAGATGCACCCTCTTTCCTGGCAGCGGTGAGTCTTCTGCTGCTAATGAGAGCAAGGAGTCAGTACCAGTGCCTGCACCTGCACTGCCAACACTAACACCACTAACCAACAGCAGCATGACATTCTCCACCCCAATTTCAGTTCCCAGCATGAGCCTCCCAGTGCCAGAGGAGAAGCTGGATCTGGAAGCAGAGGAGCTGAGGGGTGTAGCATAGGAAATTCTGGCGAAGGAGGACGAATCTGAGTTTGTGCTCCACACCCCTCAAAGTTCTCCTAGAGGCAGGTGTCCTTCTCTGGAAGGCACTTTGAAGGAGGTTCTGGGGTCAGGTCTCAGCTCCTCCTCCTGTTGTGCCTCTGCCTAGTGAGGAGGGGGATAAGGCAGGATCCCCACCCTCAACCCAGAAGTGGGTGGGTAGTGTAGTGTGGGATCATTTTGAGGTGGCAGATGATTCCAGGTATGCTACCTGACAGTACTGCCCAAGGCAGATCAGCTGGGGGAAGGATGTGAAACACTTTACCACCACGGCGATGCTGCTGCATCTCAGGAGGCAGCACCCCCTTGCCCTTCTTCCTCCTCAGCCTGGCACCAGTGGGAGTGTGCCCAAAAGGAAGTCCCCCTCTCACTCTAAAGCCCCTGTCCCCATTAAGCAGAGGCAGGCCACCCTGGACCAGTGGGGGAAAGGCAGAGGGAAAGAGGGGCGCATTCCCAAGGCAAATGAAATCACCCAGGGCATTGGGGAGATGCTTGCTCTAGATGGCAAGTCCTTCTTTGCTGAGCATCCAGGGTTCAGGCAGCTCATGGTGCTCATGGCCCCATTGTACCAAGTGCCCACACGCACCACCTTTAGCAGGATGGTGGTGCCCTCCCTGTATGAGGCATGCAGGGAGTACTTGAGGGAGGAGCTGCACAATGCAGGGCCACAGGTAGCCTTGCACTTCACCTCAGACATCTGGAGCCACCGGGGTGGATATCATGCCTACGTCTCCCTCACAGGGCACTGGTGCAACCAGTCAGGCCATCAGTAGGCAATTCTTCAAGCTGAGGTGATGAATGAGTCCCACACGGCAAGGGAGATCATGGGGGTCATGAACTGCTTGGTGCAAGGGTGGCTTTGTGGGCAGGGCGAGATCATGTGTGGCTTCATGGCCAGTGACAATAGGGCCCTGCACCACTCTGCCTAAAACCTGGCAGGCCTCATGCTTGCACTAGGGGCTACCATCCCTGCTGCATTCATCCCACTCTGCCTTGACACACACGTTTTGCTTTCAGAAGTTTGAGGCATACTTTCACAGAAACCCCTGCACCTAGCTCCTTGAAACTTGGCAGGCTTCATACCCTCAGAAGGGGCTACCATCCCTAGTGTTTTCATCTGAATCTGCAAAAAAATGACAAAGTTATAGGTACTTTAGTTATTCCCCATTATAGTCTGTGGCCAAATCTCCGAATTGCCGCCAAGTCTTCAAATCTGAATCAGACGAATCGAATCGGGACAGTGATTCAAATCACTGAATCGAATCACTGTCCCTCCGAATCAGTGGAATCTGAATCTGAAGTGAATACTTGCTGCTTTGCACAGGTCTATTATTTTCCACTAGATCTTAACATAATAATTGAAGTGAAGAAAGACAAGAGGAGTTAGGATTTGGGCCAGCAGCACTTCAAGGTTCAGGTCATTTGATTTACTGACAGTGAATGAACTATTTCAGTGCCATGTATATTTAGAGTCTCAGGCAAGAGTAAAGGAATTGTATTATGATAACAAAACTGGTATGTTCTTTTGCATATTGATTTTACAGAAATAAATCATGCTTAACTTCACAATTGTACATAAGTTATTTATTTAGCTTATCACAATATTAACAACTGATATCAAATGCCATGCAGTATCATTCACACCTTAGTTTTTTTTCCATCATCTGTGTCCATTAATCTGAAAACATTAACCAGTTAATCTGCACAACACTCACAGGCTGCGTCCAGACATCATAGCCGTGCAATATGTGGTGCTACAGACGCATATGTGGCACCATGTACTGCACATTCAGTTGTTCTCCACACTGCAAGGGAGCAGTGTGGAGGGATTTTTTGACCCGCTACATGTGGGGGTCAGAAAAATCTGTGGAATAAAAAAGAAGAGTGGCACATGTGGTGCCAGCATATGCCACCCAAAGCTAGAGCCTGGCTGGCCAGAACCACACTCTGCTGCCGGCCAGGCTCTGCACAGCAGGATCACTGCTATTGCAGCCCTGGGAGGTCCCGAGGCAATGCTGCTGGGGACAGCCCAGTGCTGGCCCCAGCCTTCCCTACCCCACACGGGGTAACTTCCTGCATACCAGAGCATGCATGGCACAGACGTTCCCTGGGGACAACTAGCAGCAGCACAAGGTGCACTGCCTTTAGTTGTCCCCGGGGAACTAAATGTCTGTGCACATCTCGATGCAGCCATGCTGTTTAAATATTGTTTTCCCATTTCATGAAATGCTGTATGTGTGGTATGTGGCTAAAAATGTATTGAGAAGGTGGGACTAAGATTTTTAACAGCGCCCAAGTCCCACTGGATTTAAGTATGACACATGAAACATTTAACTGAGGTATTTTTGAAAATGTTACCCTAAGTCACTGACACAAAAGGCATACAAAAAGAAAAGTGGAATATAGCCAGAATCAAGAGGTAGGTTTTGTCTGGTGTGTAAGGTTACACTCTAAACACTAGCCTGGGAAGGGTAGTATAAGAATGGCTTTATTTAAATTTTTGTTTCGTTTTTCTCATATAGTGTCTGTGTGTGATGTGGACATCTAATCTGTCCTTCGAAAATTAAAAAAACATTTTTAACTAAGCTGTAAGTCCATGCTAGTTTATATAACATAATTCCAAACAATGCCTCTGAATCTTTTCTCATTTTTATTACTGTACTCGAACTGATTTGTAAGGAATTTGAAATATTTGGATAATCTTATATTCCCCGTCTGTTCTCCTTTATACTTGCTAGTTCAAGCTAAGCTTGTAACTAGTGAGGTCAGAATACTGTATGAGATGCTTCTTGTGGGAAATTTCATGCCTGGTTGCTTAACTGAATGTCTTATGCATTTCCATTAAGCAACTGAATTTACTTTACCCGACTAGAATGCTATATCTTTTAAAGTTTGTGTCTGCACTTGTGATTTGTTCTTACTTCAATAATGTTGAGAAACATACAAGGCCTTTTACATCACATACAATGACTCTAGATGAACAAAACAATTTGTAAAGGGAGAACAGAGAAAGCAAGGAATGAAAAATAGTTTAGGTGCAGTTTTTGGACAGTGTCCAGTTTCTGCATTAATAATGCTTTTCAACACCAGATGAAGCCTGAATCATAACAGCTCATTTAATACCATGTGCCCTCCTGAAAAGAATATGAGATTAGTAGTTAAATGAAATGCCCACAAATCCTGGGCATGGTACACAAAATCAATAAAAATTATAATGCAGGCAGGCAGGAGGATAGTAAACTGGACTGTTACTTACAATTTCTTTTGTCTCCCCAAACCTTTCAGAGTGCTCTATGGAAACAAGATCACAGAGATTCCCCTGGGCCTTTTTGATGATCTTGTCTCTTTGCAGTTGCTGTGAGTATGATCCCTTTCTTTTTTTATGATACAGCCTAGCCTGAATTATAGTTTTTTCAGCTTCCAGCTTTAATTTCAAGCTCTTGTTGGTCCATTTTGCATTGAGGCATTTTAATCTGTTCCTTCCTTATGAGGGTAGCAGTGAAACAAGAGATAAAAAAGAAGGTTCCTGTTGTTATTTAGCTCAATGCCCATATCATATAGTTAATTCAAAAGGTTGAGTTTAAGGATGGAAAGAATAGGAATGTGAATTAATTCTAACATGGGAAGCAGAGTCATCACAAAACGTAAGGAAGAGGATGATGATGATTTCTTCTCTTCATATAAAATATTAATTGATTGCACATGTGACTGAGTATTTGGATCCTGCATGACAGTTTCATGGCACATAAGCAAAATAGCAATATCTAAGGATATTATCTTCTCCCATTATAGTTGATATGTATACATATATATTCTGTATTTTTATTACACTGATTATGGCTCAACTGACGTACAGATTATCTGTAGCCAGTGCCATTAATATTCCCATAGTCATATACTTTAAATTGACAGGTTTGACTTATTCTAAAATGCAATTATAATCTGAACAACAGTGTATTCTGAATTATAAATAGTTTCATTTTTGATTAACATCTGGGGAAAATGTTCATGGACAAAAGTAAAGTTTCAGGTCCAACCATTTCCCACCACCTTAGCACTTTGAACCCATCCCCAGAGAGATAATCCAGCCACTATTTTAGCCAACCAGTAGAGGGAGTAAAAGTTAAATTAATTAAAGTAATATTCCAGAGCTCTGTTTAACCTCAGCAATGATGCACCTGTGTAGACAAGGAAATAGATAAAGCTCACCCATATTGACTAACATTATGTAAAGCACATAAAAGGCATATGATAGAAAATGTGGAAATGAAGTATTTGCTTGGTGGGAAACAAAAACTTAGTAATTAGACATCTTATTTTTAAGCTTTTCAGGCTGCTTCAGCAAAAAAATAGATTTAAAAATCTAATTCCTTATTTCTTTTACCTTTAATCCTGCATTACTCAGTAATATCCAGGGATCCAGGTTTTCCATGCCCTGTGGAAAAACACAGATATTCCCTTTTAAAGGAGAAAAACGCGGGTGTTTCCCTTTGAAGCAGGAAGTGCTGGGCTTTCCCTTGCAGGCTGGCAGCATTTCAGCCTGCAAGGAGCTGCTTGGAGCTCAGGGGAGTGGAGGGAGGGCAGTTAGAAGCAGAAGGTCCCACGTGTGATTGTCATGTGCACACACATGACTGGCAATACAGGTAGGTAGGGTGGAGGAAGCAGCCCTGGCAGCTGGATGCAGGTAGGTCTATGGGACAGGGAGTTGGAAGGCCAGGGCTTGGGGACTGTCTGAGGCAGGTGGAGGGGTGTGTGTGTGCACGTGCATGCATGCGTGTGTGTGTGTGAATCTGTTTGTGGGTGCTGGGTAAAGCAGTCCAGACACCAGGGCTGTGGTGGGGCAGCAGGGTCTGAGGCAGCGCTTGGTATGCCAGCATGCCCACCTCAGCATTGTTGCCCATGGGGCCTGTCTGCGCAGGACTCCAGCAGGTGCAAGGGGAAGGGGGATCCGTTGGGGCAGTGGGGAGCTGCATGGCTGGGCCACCGGAGGCCAGTGCCCATGATTGTAGGAGTCCACTGGAGTCCGGTGAGTCTGCACAGGGCTGGCTGGGGCAGGGGGTAGTTAGGGGCCCCACCTGGCAGGATGGGGGGGGACAAGGGGCTCTGCATCAGGAGTGAGGGGCACCAGCAGGGCTGGGGGGCTGGGGTTTTCGGAGTAAGGGGCACTGGCAGTGCTGGGGGTGAGATTCAATGGCATGGGCAGAGGGGTAGGGGCAGGGCACTGGCATATCAGGGCTGCTTAGCTGCACAAAGAAGTCGGGGTGGGACAGCTACAGCTGAACCTGTGTCCTAGTGAGCTAAGGGAGTAGGGAGAGCTCTGATTTTCTATGATTAAAAACAAAATCAAATGCCAAAATATATAGGTATTTAGAATGTATTTTAGTATAATGTTTGAGGCACTGCTAGACTTCCAAATTGCTTTAAAATTGTAAATATATCAATAAAACTTTGTGTGCAGCTGATACCTATATATATAGTGGTGTTTCATTTTAATTGCATAAAAATGCAGATTTACAGGTTTTTAATCAGAGAGTCTGGGACTTCTTATCAGCGAATTTGGGAATTTTAAACAGAAGAAACCAGGATCAGTGGTAATCTCCATCTGAATAGTATCTCCTTAATGCTGTGCTCTGCAAATGCACACATGCTTTCATTACAACTCTTTAAAGCAGAGCTGAAGATCCAAAATTATCTGTTTGTGTTGTAAGTGATAATTTAAAGGGATTATGCCAGTGTATAATATAGTTCCTAGTGTTTTCAATTGCAAATGTAGGTCACCTTTCTCTGGAGATGGGGAGAAGCAGATATGGTGTGGTTAGAAAAACATTCGAGTCATCCAATTATTTCCTCTAGTCGTTTGCACAGTCCTTTCCTGCAAGCCTCACTGTCTCATTCCTACTTAATACCACCAAGCCCATTTCTCTCTTAAATGCCTTCTGGTCCCAGCATGTATACCAGGAGGAGACTGCATAAGAAGGAATTTTTGTTTTGTCATTTAAGAGGACAGGCAGACACAGAGGTCTGAAGTTTGGGTATAATATGGATTGATTCAGGCAGCATGTTAGTCATTGTGGCATTCAGTTCGGTAAATGAGCTGCAAGAAAAGAGAGGGCTTAGTAGCAAATAATCTCATTACTTACGTTTTATTTCGCTGGAGAACAGAGTATGTGAATAACTCTGCTTTGTCAAACTGTTCAAACAGAACCTTTTATAGTTGTGTGATTAAAATGATGCGCCTTCATTCTGTTTAAAACTGAACTCATTACAGGTGGGAACCTTCCCAGTAGCCGAACAAATAAACAAAAACAAAACCATTGTAGCTCACTAAATTTCATATAAATATATGACTATTTAAGCTTTAAAAGTGCATAAAAATCATCATGCTTGCCCAACTTAGATTTATATTGTAGTCCTTCTTGGCATTTAGAATAGTATTTTCTAAGTAATTTTTTAAACCCAAATGTTGTAAGTTTACTATTTAATGAGCTCAAGTGACTTTTTTTGTTAAAGGAATAAATCCCTTGTAAATACAAACAGTTCAAAGCTATTGTAGTTAAATCATTTAAGCAACTTCAAGCTGAGAAAAGAAGATAAATCTCAAAAGATTGCCCAAGTCGAAGCATTCCCAGTACAAATGTTACTTTGGAGGCTTTTCAATATTTTAAGGGTATTCAGAATGTAAAATAGCTGCTGACAAAGATAATGGTGAGTGATCATGCTTAAATGCAAACAAATGTGTGCACATTTTCAGACCATGGCTTTAAAGCAGCTATTGCAGGTTTGCTTGTTGTATTTTAATAGATGTCTAAAACATAATAGCATGCATTGGTTTTAGACCTGCTGTTGAACAGTTGGAACACTGCCCTCTGATTAGGTCTAATTTAGCGTTCAGTGGGCTCTAGATTGGATTTCTTCTTATTAGTCTGGAGACATACTGGTAAGAATGCTCTGATTAAAATACCCTGGTTGCCAATGTAATTTCCTAAACTTAGACTGAAGCAGTTTTGAAAATGCCTTGGTGCATGATAAAGTAGAATGTAGTGTCAGAAAGGGTGTTTCTGAAAGTTTGCTGATTTTGATTTAGGAGAAAAATCTTATCACTTTGAAATAGCACAATAGCTATTACTGTTATCTGCCCTCTATTAGTGTTCTTAAGCTTCACAATAAACTCAGTATCCTTGTTTGTAATGTACAGTTTCATAATCTAGGACCAGATATTCCTACTCTTGCACAGTCAAGTATTACCTTAATTCTGCCTGTAGTCCTGTTTAAGTCGATAAGGCACAAGGCTTAAGGCACAAGTTAATACTCAGCCTGATATAGAATATCTTAAAGTGTCTTATGTGTTAGGAGAGCATGGAAAAATGAAAACTCATGTCTAATTTTAGGTTAGTTATATGCACATTAGAATTCTGCAGTTAGTTCATGCAACCACAGGGATGGATGTGATATAAATGTGTTAGGTAAGAAGGTAGGCATATGTAGATAGATGTTTTCTATTACTTTCATTTATTTTTTAATCTAGCTGGGTTAATCTAAATTGGGAAGAGAAATAAGAAATAAAGCTCTACTATAGATAAGCACATTGGATTAATTTATAAATAATCTAACTGGGACTATATACAGACATTGTTTCTACTGGGAGAGTCATTGCTCTTCTAAGAGAAACCACCAGTGTACAGATGTTCAGGATTTTTCCCCAAGCAAAACTTACCACTTCAGAAACAAAATAACCTAGGAACATGCAGGGTTAAATCCCTCCTGAGAGAGGGAAAGTCTGTATACATTCTTTTCTAAGGGAAGCCACAGCACAATCCCCCAAAAACCAAAGGTTCAGCCCTCCCTTCACCCCCATGACCTCATCCTGGAGACAGTATGCCACTCAGGCTGGACTCTACTTCTCCAACTGAGGAGAGAGAAGACTATGCTGCCTTTCACAATATCACATTATGCTATAGGGAAACACAGGCTGCCACTGAGCAGTCTGGGTCAGTCAACAGGACTGCTGTTTGCACTGCTGCCAACTGTCTCTAGGCAGACTGAGGGAGCCTGCAGAGCATGCTGAGGTGTATGCACAAGGTTCCCCTGGCTGTGCAGCATCAGCATTGAAAGCTCTCTACTCTTCAAAGACTCAGCATTCAAATGTCTGTTCAGAAGCCCCCTGTTGAGCTTTTCTACCAGGAAAACAAACCTAGGAGAATTCTCCTGTATCATTTGGATGTGTATACACATCCTGTGTTACAAGCAGAATTCCTTTCATGAGAGGAAGTGCACAGCCACTGGCAAGAATATCTGAGCACTTGTGGCACAAGGGACAGGTCCCAGAGGACTGGAAAAGGGCCAATGTGGTCCCTATT